GGACTATGAGATGATGGATGGAAGGAGTGATTCTGTTTCCAATAGGTGATTCTGATAAACTATTGCGCATAATGATGGAAGTAGATGAACCTTTTTCATGATTCATCCGGATGGTCCAGCCTGCTGAGACGTGTGTACGACATGCGACTTAGTGCTGTATCGTCAGTCGCTCCTAAATTTGTAGGACGCCTTTATGGCCTCCTTGATTGTTTTTTCCTGTCCTCCAGAAAGGTAGGGAAATTTCTAGATTTCTACTGTTCCATATCAGTGCTCTGTTTTGAGGTAATGTTTTCTTTTTGAATTTAAATAAATTTCAGGCTGATGAAACTTAAATAAATGCGTCCTACAATTGTAGGAACGACTGACGATACGGCCCCTAGTGAGTGCGCAGGCGGCTCTGATTCATTGGTGGTGATGTGCTGTCTTTGGGAAGTTTCCTGGAGTTACTCCGTGGGAAGGGTAACGATCCGCAAAGACCCACTACATTCGTTGCGTTGGCTTGATTCTACCGTAGTGGTGCAACATTTTCGCCGTGGCACGATGTTGGGCCTCGGTCTCCCTATTGCAAAGAATAGCATGAAACTTCCTTCGCCCACAGCCAGTAGCTCGCTTGCAGCTGAACTCCTTGTTTTAGCCTGTTGGTGTCGGATCCCCATCGTTAACTGGACGACTAGCTTATTGGAGTCTGCTAATCTGGTGGCAAACCCAACTCCTTGCTAGCTGCGAGCCTCTTCTTTGGCGAGGTACCCCTTGTAGATGGGCTTGTCCCTTCGATGACGGATTTGATATCTGGTCATCCCTGTTGCCCCCACCGCATTTTGCAAGAAATATTCTGGTCCAGAAGCAGATTGGCTTCGATGTTGGCAAGCCTGAAGAAAACATCTGCTTCCGAATGAGGCGCACTTTCTGCCAACTCCCTGTTGTACTCGGTAGGATGGGCATTCTTTGAGCGCAGCTTTGTGCCAGGATATGATTGGAATATCATATCACATAAGCTTCGCTTATGCCAATCCATTAGGATCTGAGGTCCCTGTGGATGTCTGTGGGGGGATCTGGGGGCAGCTTCTATGGTGATTTTGTAGGCCTTTGTTGGTAGTGAACTGCCGTCCATAGGGACAGTTGTACGTTGGCTGGACTGGTCTGTTTCGGGGTACTGTGGTTGAGGCTGACGAGCCCCCAGAATATGTCTTGGGGGGCATCGGATTTACCGCCATCTCCATTTGCAGAAGCTGAGCATGGCACGGTGTTTGATCTCTGTGTCGTACCGCGTATAGTAGCATGCGATGGACGATCCGCCGAGTTGATGGAGTTGGCGGGTTGGCTTTCCATACCTAAAAATGGCTTTGGAACCTGAAAAGGTATACGACCTGAAGGGTAATAAAATTGAGGAGAGAAGGGGACAAGCTGTTGTACCTACCCGGAAGTTTCAATTTCGAAAAAGGGATAAACTCCCCAGACACGGGAGTTGAGGTAGGGAGTTCTACCTCTTTCAGGCTGGAGAGAATGACCGAAGAATCATCAACCATTACGGAGCTGTGGGATCACCTCGAGCAAAAGGTGGAAGTTGCTCCTCAGGAAGCGAGGAGTTGGGAGATCCGACTTATCTGCTAGGAACAGATGCCAAGGATGTTCTAGTTCTGCAGAAGGAGTTCGTGGAACCTTAATGTGCCACAATTGATACAAAATTAGTGAACTGAACAACAAACACTGCGAGAGTTGAGCTATTGAAAAATGGAGTCAATTTTGCTGTTCTATGAGCTTGTTTGTGCCAGAGAAATGCCGAAGTTCCTGGATTTGAATTATTGAACTGTGGGAGTTGAGGGAGAAGTTTGGGAATTAGAAGTATACCTCTAACAAAACTCCAGTACTCACTCATTAGGACGGAAGAATTGTAATCTGCACCATACACTAGAAACCACAACTACTACATTACCCCCGATGCATTGTAGGTCCCCACGTATATTGGATAGCGATAGATAGAAAGAATAGATAGAAAATAGTTTTCCAAGTTTAAAGGGCAAATCTAATAACTAATAGGTGCTTAGTATTACCGGTGTTGGAAATGTATTATGTATAGTAGTATATCAAATTTGCGTTACACTTTTCATCGCCCCATACAACCATCTAACAAATTTATCAAAAATGGTCAGGATCCTCTCAAACGTCGAAGTTTCTGGAAATTTTCTCCGCCGCGACTGGACCGATTTTCAAATACTACAAAGCAAATTTCATCTAAATCCGAGCAGTACTTACAGAGTTATAGACTTACCCAAAATTTGCAGACAGGCTGACGTAAATGAGTGACATGGTTTTTCGTGATGTTCATGACATATACCATCCAAAAGCATAATATCTAACTGTTTACCAGTACCTTCAGTGGCGTAGGAAAAAAACAGTTAGTTACGAACATGCATAACAGGGAAATTAAACGGATCAAGTCAGTCAAACAGGCCTACACAATAAATGTATCGACATTCCTTCCCTGCCATACCAGTAGTGGCAGAACACTTACCAGAACCGACACGCCCCAGACAGCAGAAGGAGAGATTAGTATCGGAAGCATTTCCCTATCATCCCAAGTTTTAAGTACAAAATTTATGAGGAAATATGTCTTTCTAAAAATTTTCCTGGAAATTATCAGGGTCTTATGAAACGTCAAAAAATAAAATTTGAGCGATTTTAATTGTTTTTTTCGTTTTTGTCCATAGTTCCGCCGCCACTACACCGATTTCTAAAAAAATACAAATTTTTCCGTCAAGGATTTGTGAGCAGACCAACATACAGCCAAACAGATCGTCGGAATTTAGTTACAAGGTTTTTCAAGATGGACATCACATTTCCTTCATGTTTTCCCCTAGCTCCGCCGCCACTAAACTGATTTTCAAAAACAACAAAGCTTTTTCGTATTTGGTACAGTAGTAAACTAATGTGACAATTTTATCCAAATCCAGTGCAGTACTTCCAAGTGTATTTCTTTTCACTATGAAATCCAGGATGCAAAATTGAACATTCCTAATTGACTAATTAGACTTCGTTACGTTCATTCGCCTTAAATGCTCATAATTAACTAATGTTTAAATGTATTCTTCTATCAACAAGCAAATGTTTAATACCGGGATAAGCAAGACATTGAGGCGTGGTGCTTTGTTAATCGTTTCACAAAATTAACTCAAATCGAAGGCACACTTAGATAGTATTTATCAGAGTACTCGAAGTTATAGCTCAGTCAATTTTGACTCGGAAATTAGAAATGTTCTAATTTTAATAGATCACATCCAACCGGAACCGCATCAAAAAGTGTAGAGCATATTGCATTATGACAAACGACAGTTCGATTTTTTTTTCTTCAATTCTAATTCCTAGACTGAGAACTAATTAAATTCTTCAACAACTAGCGACTTTGTTACAGAATTATGTTTTCGTATCTTGGCAGTGCCTTATGGGTATGGAAAATAAAATCCTGATAAATCATTCCTTAAGCCGAAAGAATAAAATATTTGAATCTTTCAATTTACTAATGTCAACATCGTTTATTCCAACAGACGATCTAAAAAACGAGGATAATCTGCATGATCTATGAATAATGGATGTAACCATCGATTACAGCTATTAAAAATGCAGTTTTGCATAAGTATGAGCATATAAATCGGCTCCCGTATTCCGTAACTGAAAAATGGCCTGCATAGCAATCTGATCGCCATAATGATCAGTTTGGAACTAGATATTATTCACTTGATGTTCACTTGAAGTAGCTGTGTGTGTAAACGTCAAGATAATTGACCTATATGCTGTGGCGATGATGTGATGTAACATCTGCTCCAGAGATGACACTAGTAGAGGCCATTCGCAGCTTCTATGGCGTAATGAGCTGTAAGTTCTATAGCTCTTTCTGTCAATCCAATCCTCGATAGCATTCATAACGAGTAGGCGTGGCCTGTACTAGCGACTAGCTAGCACACAAGTAACAAGTATAGCGATCAGCAGGGGTATTATCTAAAAAACGTAAAAAAAAACGTTGAAATGTCTTGCAGACTAGGTAGTTTTTAGTGTGCAAATAGTTCATTCCTGATTTTCTCGCTATGATCGCTGACAAGTGAACAACAGCTTGCGCTAAGTTAACATCTTGTAGAAAAACCTACGTTACGTCACAAAGAACCTACGGAATCTAAAAAACAAAAAACGACAAAATGTCACTTTTCAATATACGCAATACCCGTGCGGATTGCTATCAAGCGATTATTTTAGACTGGTGCAGTGTTTCACTTTGAACTTCTGTTGCCAAAGCATCTAAAGCTATGTACAGATATGTAACAACACCGCGAACCGAATCACGCGACAAACCGCGCCGCGCTAGTGTAGACGGTGAAAAAAACGACGTCGCGAGCCTGATAAGCGTTACAGCTCGCTGTTCGGGCCGATCCAGACTCTCAGTTTTTCAGCGTAATATCAAAGGAAATGCTCGCGACGAAGTTGCACATGTTTGGACAGGGATATCGGTGCGGCGAGCACGCGCTCATATCAGTAAATGGATAGAGCCCGTGAAGAAAAGAAGGAATGGTCGGAGGAGAACACTTTTTTGCTTATAGAGTTTTACAGAGCAGGGGAATTATTGTGGGATGCAAAACATACCCTGAATTACAATAAAAAAAATGATGTCTTACACTGAACAACAAACATCAAAATTGGATCGTCATTTTGTTGCGCGATGTGGTTGCACGACGTGGTTCGGTTTGTGGTGATGCCCGTTGCAATGTTATTCGACAAAATGCGCGCGCTGCGGTTCGTCGCATGGTTCGGTTCGCGGTGTTTTTACATATCTGTACATAGCTTTATAGATATAATTCTTGCTACGTTAGACATATAACGCTTGGTCTATAACATGCGCTATCAACGGGAAAGAAAAAATAACATTCACACGTATAATAAGTTGAATGAGCCTTATCTCGTTTAAGCGACACACATGCTCATTTGTGCACACTGCACAAAGTAACACTTTCTGGTTAGATAACGTCTACCAATTTACAAACATTTGTTCAATGTCCATTAGTCAGCATTAACAATCTGCAAATAAATGATTTAATACTTTGACCCAATAAAACTACAGTAATTAGTAATTATATTCCGTATTACTAAAAGACATGTAGTTTATCCAACCAGTTGTGGCAGAAAGATGACAGATGAGTACGAGTTTACGCTAGGGGAAGAAACCAGATTATATGCTGAAGAAGCTCTGAATGAAACTGTTGAGAGTAGAACAGCTGGACTTGAAGAGATTGGAAGGTAAATTTCATTTCTCTCTTATTTTTCAGAATAGATGTATCGGGTTATGTCTGCGGAGTTTGAAATAAAACGATATTTTGATTTGTTTTAGATGGTTGAAAGAGGAAAGACCAGACCTAAATGCAAAAACAGAAACGAAGTATTTGTTACCATTCCTAAGAGGTTGCAAGTTCAATCTAGAGAAGACGAAACAAAAAATAATAAACTACTATACAATGAGGAGAGATGAACCCATTTGGTTTAAAAACAGGAATCCTCTATTACCAGAGGTAGAAGAATTAGTTAGACTTGGAATATTTCTCCCGTTAAGGCAGACAAGTGACGGGAGGTTAGTAGAAAGTAAGATGTGAGATGTTAAAGACATATTTTCCTTTCAGTAAAATGAAGTGGCTTGATGCCGTCAAACTATATTCATTTTCTTGTACATTGTTTTATTTATTCCAGATTGGTAATCATAATACGTACGGCAGCCCACAATCCCAGCATTCACAGTCTAGAGGACATTTTCAAAGTCGGCAAGATGATCCTGGACATTGCTGTGATGGAAAGCGAATCTTGCCAGATCTACGGTGGTCTTGCCATCTTTGACATGTCCGGCGTAACAATATGGCATGCAAAACAGATGACTATCAATATCATTCGCAGAGCTGTGTTTGCTTGGCAGAATTACACGATCAGGTAAGAATCCTAGTGTTCCCAAAGTTCCTAAATTTTCAGAATATCTGATCTGTTCAATTTTCAGACCCAAGCGACTAGACTTTATCAACGCTCCAATATATATAAACTTAGTGTTAAGCATCTTCAAAAGTTTTATGACACAGAAAATGAAGAGTAGAGTAAGAGTTATCTATGGTGGGGCAAAATCTCTTTATAAGGAAATCGATAGAGATATTTTACCCTCGGATTATGGAGGAAAAGGTGAGAGTGTGAAGGAACTGAGCAAATATTGGTACGAGAAGTTGGTTCAGTATCAAGATTGGTTTGCTGAGGATGAGAAGTATGCTGCAAAATAACGTGATCTGGATAATGTGAAAAGATATATTAAAATTATGTAGTGAGTGTGGAGGTTTTTTTATAACTGTAATTATTTAGTAGAATAATAAAACAACCGATTTATAAGCTTTAGATTATACTTTTCCCGACTTGAGTGTCATTCTCCTTGGAATTTTTAATTTTTAAAAATCTGAGGACTGAAACAAAAGATAATATTTAAGGTAAATTTTATTATGAAGAAATCATACACTTGCATCACATAATAAAAAGCTGAAATATAAAAAATAGCACGGGAACGAACACGTTGACTGAATAGTTTTTACGAGTGCGCATTATTACCTAGAATCTCTTAAAGCAATCACCAAAAAGGTCGGCATACAGTCAAAAAAGAACTAAAATATCAATATACATGACTAAATAATTTTCAAATATATGTATATAATATATTCATCCAGAAATGGACTTTTGGGTGGGCGAAACATATCCGCTTTTGTAGATAGGAATACTTGACTAAAATAGAGTGGCCTATTATTAAATGTTTTCTGGCATGTTTAGCTAGAACACCTTTCCTAGTAGTTAAAAACGTACAATGCGGGCACGTATATATAGGCGTCTCAATAAACTGCGGATGTTTCTTGAGCGTGTGGCCATCCAAAAATTTTTATTAGTAAACACCACATTACAATGTGGACACTTTAACAGACTATCAGACTCAGGATGCTCGAGCATATGACTAACTAAATGACGTTTACTGACAGTTTTAAATGTGCAATGTTTGCAGCCATATAGTTTATTAGTAACAGATCCCACTAATTCGGAATGTTGTTTGGATATATGCTCGTCTAAATCATCTTTTTCTGTGAAACTGCCATTGCAATGGGGACAAAAAATGAGACTATCGTTCCCAGATTCTGGGTGTTGTAACTTATGCCTAGACATCAGATATTTGCTAACAGTTTTGTATACACAACTTGGACATTCATAAATCTTATGTGAAATTGAGTCAACAAATTCTGGATGGTTTTTAATGATATGGCTATTTAGAGTTTCAGTCTTTTTGAATAGTTCCTCACAATATTTACACTTAACAAGCTTATAATTCCCAGTATGTTTCATCATATGTTTTTTTAAGCAAGTACCATAGGAACTGTAAATCACAATATGTACAGTGATGTATTTTACGCGCATGTTTTTCAGATATATGACTGTTTAAATCTCCTTTAGATTTAAAAGATTCAATACAATATGAACAAGACTGAAGCTTTGAATGTGTCAAAATATGTTCTATCAAAACTTTCTTCCAAAGAGTTTGGTAGGAACAGTGCATACAATGCAGAATTTGAGATGTGGATGAGACAGATTCAGAATGATCAGGGTGTTTTCTAAGTATGTGATTGTTCAGACTCTTCATAATTTTGAAAGTAGTGTTACAATGAACACATGTAGGGCAAATTTTTTTTCTAACAGGCACCTCATTGTTTTATCAGACACTTGAGAGGAATGTGTCGACATATGTCTAGTTAATCTATTCTTTTTTGTAGTTTTGAATTCACAACTTGTACAACAATGTATTTTATGATACACAGTTGATATAAACTCTGGATGCTTTTTAATAATATGCTCAGATAAATTTTGGAGATCTTTAATGTTGCATTACAGTGGCAACATGTTGTAAGCATGTTGCGACCAACTTTTTTGTTGGGTGTTGAAGCATATGTTATTGAGATCAAGTTTCATTGTAGTTTGAAATTTGCAATGAGGGCATTTAAATATTTCACTAGAAATGGTTATAGCAAATTTTGGATGTTTTTGAGTATATGGGCATCCAGTGTTTCTTTATTTACAAATGCTGACCTACAGTGTGAACACATATTAAGAGTATCATCTACTGATGATTCTTTATGTTGCAACATATGTCTAGCTAGTTGATATTTTCCAATAGTTTTGTATGTACAATATTTACATTCATATACTTTTTGAGATAGAGAAGATATGTGTTCAGGATGTTTTTGAATGATATGACTATTCAAAACTGGTTTGTTTTAAATGTTTCATCACACTATTCACACTTAATGAGCTTGTAGTTTCCAGTATGCTTCAAACTATGCCTTTCCAAGCTACACTTATAAGTAGTTTTGAATTTGCAATTTGTACATTGGTGTATTTTATGACAATGTTTTCTACTATGTGATTGTCGAGATTCCTTTTACTTTCAAATGTCATGTTACAGTGTACACAAGTGTGAAGATTATAACTACTTTCAGATGCGTTCTGTTCGCATTTCTTCCTGATTTTTTTCTGTTTCTCGGCACTGTAATACGATAAAATATTATTCATCTAAATTATGTGCAAATAAGCCCATAAAATTACCTATTTAAAAGTGTATCTGCATTTGGGTTTGTGAAACTGCCAGAATGATCTTTCAATTTTGATGAGAAGTTCATGAGATATATTCTCAGATTCATACTTTATGTTATGTAGATCTATTTCTTGCTAATTTTACACCTTCTGCAACATAACATGTGTGTTGCGTCCTTCATCGGATCGAAATAATCAGTATCTACTTCTGGCTCCCTTCTTATCTCATAAATTCAATTTTTGGTGGATTCTAAACACCGCCGTTTCCATGATTCCCTTATGAACTAATATGATATTTTTCTATTCATGAATTGCAAACTTGGAAAATTGATTCTTGTTTATATACACTTTTACACTTCAATACACAAAACGAAAACACATCTTCCTTCTTCAATACTTCAATCATGCTTCAATCACAAACTTCAATATGAAAACACACAGAACATAAACACATAAATTCACAAAACAAAAACATAAATCAAATCAAGCGAATAACCAAAATTTCTATGTTATGTATCGCGGTTATAATATGGTTCAAGATGACACACGGGTTGATGACGTCAGTTACTCGAATCGCTTGAACGCGTTGGTCTTAACTGCGGTTTTGTTGCAAGTTGTTTATTTTAGAAAAGCGCATATATAATGTCTGATTATTTTATTATCATTTAATAATCGGTGCATGATAACGTTTAATCATCTAAACTTATCCGCAAGTCAAAAAAAACATTTATTGATTTAGCAGAAATGATAGGAATAAGCGATGAAAAAAGATATCAGCAAAACCGTATGCAGGTGGACATCATCCAGTGAGTTTATATGGCTGTATTTTAATATTTTTATGGTATATGGCTATAAAGGATACTTTGTTAAGCAAAGGAATTAGATTCAAAGTGTCCCCAACAACAGTCATGATTATAACGAATAAGGTGCTCTACTTTAAGCTAAAACTGAAGTCAGCCTGTATCAAGTTTCCCAAAAATGTCACATTTCAAATAAAAACCAGAAATATAAAACTACTCCTGAGTTGGGTAAATACCACAATTTTACGGTAATAACTATGACATATAACAGCTGATTCATGACGTCACGGGTCTTATAACCAAACTGATAACTACACTCGCTTAAATGTATCGGTAAATACCAATCCAAAATGGTAAATACCATTTTCATTTGGTTATTCCCTTAAATTTGATTATATACACTGAGTATAAATTGACAACAATAATAATGTCCAGTTAAATTAGCTGTTAACATTCACGTCAAAAGGTATACAGTTTTCTTCATTTCGTGCAATTTTTATAGTTATCTCTTGCTTAAGGACGCCACATTCAGCTAAATATTTTTTCAAAAAAGTATATTCATCGTAGGTAGCAGTATGGTTACTTTTCTGGAACATCGAATTAAGCCATAGCAATAGCGAATAACGTTACTAGAGTTTCCCCACTGAAATTGCTTACACTAGAGCTTGACTTTCTTTTCCTGTTGTGAGTACTACTATACACATTTATGCAATGTTGGATCCTATTTCAGATTAGCGGCATCTACTATAAGGAAAGGTATAACCGCGGC